TATAAATATCTTTAAAAAAAAGTCAAGTTTATGAGGCAAAGATAAAACTTTTTAACTACTTTAGCAAATAGGGGGTTTGTTAAGATTCATAATTGAACAGGACGTGTGCATAATGAAAACTAATACAAGCAGGAGCAGCTGCTTACCGCTGAAAACAGAAATAGAATGACTGAAGCTAAAAAGGTTAAAAATATATATATTACGAATGATAAAAAAAACTATGTAAGAAAGGTGTCCATGGAGTATTAAAAGAGATACCTCAGTTGAAGCCCTTCCATGTGAAGCTAACTCTGATGATTGATTATCACACCACTCAAAGAAACCGCAACCTCCATTTTCCTGAAAACAAAAAAGTTGCATAGAGCACGTCAATATATATATTAAGTGAATTGAAATTAGAAAGAGAAAGGAGTAAAAACTGAACTTCAATCTGGTGGGGAAAAAAACATAACTATTCTATAAAAGTTAATAAGTAAAAGAAAAAGCAGTCAAGGACCCAATAGAAAATAATGGATAAAATAAAGAGCTTATGAAGGCTTTCATTTGCTGTATTCTTTGAAAAGAGAAAAGACTGCTTGTGATACATCAGTAGAAATTATCAGTATCAAAGTTTAATATTTGTTTAATATAATATCGAAAATACATCAGTAGACTTGTCCAGTTATTAAGAAATCCCTTAATTTATATTAACTGCGTAAACCGTGATCTATGCTCAATAAGGGGGATGCAAGCTGAATCGATGCAGATTTCTTTTTATTTATGCTTGTGCATGCCACTCCAGTTTCCCATAATGCAAAGATCTGCTACTTCCTGCTTCCTACAGATGATAGATCTAATCACTAACTTTATTCTCCATAAGGATGAAGTAGGCTAGCATAAAAATTGATTTGTAGAACAATGCACTTCTAACATTTTTGTGTTAAAGGCCGAGGCAAGTAGAGAATTAGAGGTCACAAAGGGGAAAAAAAAGTAGCATACACACATACACAAAATCTCATCAACTATATTGTAGGACTTACATAAGTGCTTCAGAAATGTATTATGTTTCAAAGTGGAAAGGGGATAGTTCCATATGATTTCCCAAGTTCCTCACTTGTGGATAAAGCAAGTTGCTATTGTTCTGGATTATCCAATTGAATAATTCTACGACGGATGCGGAATCTATCGTCGTATGCCGGTCCCGGCATAAGGAAACGTGGGATCTAAGTGTTAACCCTTATGTTTTGATGATGTTTTACAACCACCATTATCGGTACTAATTGCTTGTTGAGTGATATTGTAGTTAATATATATATCAAGCTTGTTAGTACCATGCATGGAGGATTGGATGGAATATGCGCTACAACAATGATATCCAAAGGAGGAGGAGGCATAGTGATGAAACAACGTTTATTCAAGAACACCAAATGCAATAAGAAGCTTCATCAAACTCAAGCTATATCAAGACTCAAAGAATTGTATTCTATGTGAGGATATTAGCTAGTTTTTATTTTCTCTCTAGTGCTAGAATGTAGGCAAGTAGTTTAGATTTCATTTGAAGCTATTGGGATATCACACACACGTTTTCATACTTATAGTTTTAAGCGTTTTCACAAAATATCATTTTTCACAAGTATGAGGACCTATTCGCAAAATTCATTTTTTAAACAATTTGTTTTAGTGTTAAAAATATTTTACAAAGTTTCACAATTTTTGGAAGTCAATTAAATATTTTACGGATTTTTTAAGAGAGTCAAAAACAGTATTTGCATGTGTATCAGTTTGCGGTCGACCGTCACGGTCAACCGCGCCTGAGTTCTTTTCTGAGTGGGCAGCAAAAACTTTCGCGGTCGACCGCCACGGGCGACCGTGAGCTCGAAAATTCCCACGGTCGACCGCTACGGTCGACCGCAGAAGTCTCTGAAAATTTTTTTAAGTTTCAAAGCTGGCTCGCGGTCGACCGCGAGAATTGTACGGTCAACCGTCGCTTATTCAAACGGTCTTTGGATTTGGGGATTAGAGTATGGGTTTAAACAGCTGTATTTTCTCCTATTTAAACCTCATATACTCCTTCCTCAAGTGTCCCAAGCTTTTGAAAAACCAGAGATCTGTTTTACTGAGAGTCAAAATTTTCAAACCTGATTTTCTCTGTTTTCAGTTTCACTTCCCAGCTTCAGTGTAATCTTTCTCATTGCCATAGGGACATTGTAAAGAGAGAGTTTTTACATCATTACTATTGTTGAGAGCTTGATCTTGTGAAGATCAACTGTGTGGGAGTGTGATCTTGTGGTGATCAACTGTGTAGTTGTGAGATCTTGTGGAGATTGTTATGTAGAAGAAGTTCCGGCTTTCAAACCGGGTTGTGTAGTGGATTCTCCTCGAGAGTGGGGAGCGGGGACGTAGGTCAGCGGGCCGAACCTCGTTAACACATCACGCGTCACTTGCATAACGATTTCTCACGCTATCTCCTTTACAGTTGTTGTTCTTTATTGTGGTGTATTGCTTACCTTATTTTTATTACACAATTATAGTCTTAAGATCCTAATCACCCCCCTCTAGGGTCCAACACTAAGAGATCGAGATGTAGAAAGAACATGAAAGCGCAAAGCCATTATGCAACAGGATAATACAATATTTACGAGGTTCGGCCTAAAGCTCTGGCTTACGTCCTCGGATGATGGAGAGATAATCACTATGAAAAATAGACAAGTGCGATTTGCGAGGACTCAAACTCTCTAATCCTCACTCTTTTCTCTCTATTTTTCTCTCACACACTCTCTTTTTGTTTTTCATACTCTCATCAAATGCAACAATCCCTTTATATATGATTGTTCTTTGACTTACTTAGCAAATGCATAATTATTAGTAACTCTAAATGTCTTAATACAATTCTCTATTAACTCTCCAAGTCAACATTGGATTAAGACACATTAACACTAACAAACTCCACATAAGCTTAATTCGCATTCTCACCACGAAGTATACTCTTTGGTGCTTCTCTCCTCAAGGCATCCTAAATTGGAACAATTGGTATTTGAGCTTCCAGTGGAGATTGAGCAGATATGGAGTTGAAGTTCAAGATGGAGAAGTTCAACAGCAAGGGGAATTTCTCCTTGTGGCAATGGAGGGTGAGGCGTTCCAGGAGGGAGCGCGGTGAGTACCCCATCCAGGCTATCTTGAGGAGATAAGAACCAAAGAGTACTTGGTGGTGAGAATGAGAATTAAGTCAAGGTGGAGTTTGTTGGTGTTAATGTGCCTTAATTCAATGTTGACTTGGAAAGTTAAGAGAGAACTGTACTAAGACATTAATAGTTGCATGTAATTGCGCATTTACTAAGTCAAAGAGCAATCTTATATGAAGGGATTGTTGCTTTTGATGAGAGCATGAAAAACAAAGTGTGAGAGAAATGAAAGAGGTGGGAAAATAAACAGAAAAGAATGTGAATATTAGAGAGTTTGAGTCCTTGTACTTGTCTATTTTTAATAGTGATTATCTCTCCACGATCCAAGGACGTAGGCTAGAGCTTTGGACCAAATATTGTAAATATTCTCTTGTCTTGTTGCATTGTGATTTTGTGATCTTACGATTATGTGTGTCTGGACAGTGTACGATGGTAGATTTCGCATTCGTCATAGAGAGATTAGCAATGTTATAGAAGGCACTAGGTAGATCAGGCGTTTGAGCTAGTACCTAGATGCCTAGGCATATGCCTAGGTGGCGTTTAGGCGCTTAGCTATTTTTTAAATTATTTAATTATAATAACTAATAAAAATATGTATTAAATTCATATAAATTTGCAAAAAAAAATGATAGCAATCTTAGATCCATAATAAACCATGCATACTCAAATACTAAATAGCCAAAATAATAACTAACAATATTATAGACAATGCTAGGAGGCCTAGGCGTTGGACCCGACGCCTAGAGCCTAGTAGGTTTTCTTTTTTTAATTTTTAATTACAATAATTGATACTAAATATCAATGTTATAGAAAGCCTAGGTGTCGAACTATTGTATAGGTCGGAGGAGGTATTGGAGATGTTCATATTTAGAGGTTAAAGGAGTTTGAAAGATGTTGGAGGACGTAGAGGCTGCAACATAAAAAATTACAATCAATGCCTAAATGATGTAGTCCATGTAAGCAGACAATACTCCCCTAAACACTCTCAAAATATAGGTGGGCATCCTAGATACTGCCCAGGTGCTAATTAGGCGGCTTAGGTACCACATAGGTCTAGACGTACACCTAGACGAACTAGGCGAAAACTTTTTAAAACAGTGAAGATTAGTCAACCAGATAATCCACAATATATACAATGATGTTATCATTGTTATGTTTTGATATACATGATACCAAATTCACCCAAGTATTCTAGAAACTACGTAATTTAAATATTTGGATGACCAACTTATACACTGATTGTGATGTCAAGCAGTGATATAGGACAACATACCCATAATGTTGTAATTCTTGATATACGTCATAGGAGACGCGGCATTTATGAATTAACCCTGCATACCTTTATCCAAAATATGTCAACCCCTACTTGCAACTGTTCATTGATGCCTCGTTATTGTCTATGTATTCAAGGTTTTTACATGAAAATCACCTTAACTTTTGCCCAAGTTGCAACTTACCACCATAGTTTTTTTAATGTAAGCCACCTTAGTTTGCTTACATGTTCTTAATGTGAACACTTTTTGATATTTTCTGTTAAAAAATCTAAAGTTCCTATTATACCCCCGATCTAACCCCAAACGAAAAAAGAAGAGGAAGGGGAGAGGAAGGAAGTTGGCGGCATTGTTATCGAGGCGCGTGCCCCGGGCGCGGGGCGCTGCAGGTTGGAACAATTGCACCCCGCACCAGAGGTCGGGCACTGCACGCACACGAGGCGCACGCCTCGCGCGCGACTCGTGTGCGCCTCATGTGTGTTTGCCCCTTGCATCATGTAATAGACTCTTTTTTCTTTTTTTTAATAATTTACATATTACATATTTACATCACGTAATAGACTCTTTCTTGCTAGTAGCTAATCCATTCTTCATCTTTTCATGTTTAACCTATAAAAAGAAAACAATAATTAGTAATTTAGTATACTTGTTTGCTAATTTTCATGTTTAACCTATAAAAAGAAAACAATAATTAGTAATTTAGTATACTTGTTTGCTAATTATAACTTTCTTCTCTAATTAGCATGCTAAGAAAACAATAATTAGTAATTTAGTATACTTGTTTGCTAATTATAACTTTCTTCTCTAATTAGCATGCTAACTAGAAAATTATGAACATGTAAATATATAATTATTACTTCCATTCTCCATCTTTTCATGCTAACTAGCAAATAGCATTTAAGAATGCTAACTAGAAAATTATAAACAGACATGTTTTTTTAATAACTTAATTGTTACTTAAAAATACTTATATCATATTTTAAATAAAAATACATATTTCTTATTTGTTTCTTGCTTGTTTTGTTTCATAGACTTTTGCTTATGTTGGAGATTATCTTATATTGTGATTTGTAGAAACTAACAAACTTCTCTGTGTTATCCATGCTAATTAAGACTCTTTCGTGATTTAGTAAGTGAAATTATATTTCTTGGTCTTTTTATGTGACAATTTATAAACATGTTGCTTATATGTTTCTTTGTCTTATGTTGGAAAATATTAATTTGAGTTGTGCGCCTCAATTCAGTGAGGCGCGCGCATCGTTGTGCGCCTTGCGCATGGTGCACTTAAGGGACCTTTGCGTCCCGCATTGCGCCTTGCGCCTCGATAACATTGGTTGGCGGTGATGGGATCAGTGGTAGGAGAGGAGGGAGGAGGTTAGCGGCAAGAGCGGAGAGAGAGGAGGGGTTGAAGGAGGAGAGGAAGGAGGTGAGCAGGGTGAGAATATAGGAGGATGAGTGGAGGGAGGTTAGAGGTAAAGGGGGAGAAGGGAGTGAGTTAGGGTTTGGAGAAACCATAGAGGTGGAGGAAATGGTGGAAGAGTTGGAGGAGGATAGGGAGGGGGAGAGGAGAAGGGAAGAGGGGGAGGAGAGGAGGGAAGAGATTAGTGTTAGGAGAAACCCTAGAGGTGGAGGAGATGGTGAAGAAGGTGGAGGACGACGGAGAGAGGGAGAGAAGAGGGAAGAAAGGAGGTGAAGGAGGACGTGGGAGGTGGGGAGAGAGGAGGCAAGAGAGGAGATGGAGAGAGAAGGGTAAAATGGGATTTTTTTTTTTAATTTTTTGAGTTGAATAGTAGAATTGGTGTGACACTGATAACAAGTAAGCAAACTAAGGTGGCTTACTTAAAAAAAAACTAAGGTGGTAAGTCATAATTTGGGCAAAAGTTAAAGTGGTTTTCATTTAAATACCTCATGTATTTAACCTTGCTAATCACAACTCTTGGAAGAATCTTATTGCCTCAAGCAAGAGAAATTGATAATGGAAACGAGCAATTAGACTATGATGCACATAAATTTCCTAAAGAAGAAGCTGATTTGTAGCTTTTAGCAAACCCTTCGACTTGATGTAATAAGAGGGACATTTCATTGCTTGGATGAAATTTGACAGCTGACTAGAATTTCATCAATTGGACCTAAAAATGTAGTCCTTAATTAAAAGACTAAATCTCCACTCAGTAACCACCAAATCTGCTGTCTGAGCCAGTTGGGTACGATGCACAAACCTGCTTCCAAATAGATCTACGTCTAACACATAGAATCCCCTCCATTGGCATTGATAATTTTATTATTTTATCATTGATAGAGTAATATCATGGCCCGCGTAAGACATAAATCCCTAATTGATTAATAAGATCAGAGTTTTTCCCCCCTCTTTGAACACTTGAGCTAACTTGAGCAGTCCTCAACCACTGTAACGCTATTATTCCTTGATCCATCAAACTGTGTTTGATTCATCCTTTTCACGAGGGCTCTCAAGATGAAATTCACTCCACAACTGCCTTACTTTTAACCTGGATGTTCATTTACGAAACCATTTTAATACTTTTCCATACCGATGTCACTGCCTGCAACATTTGTCATGAAGAACTTCATTTGTTTGCTTATCGGAACAAGGCATACTTCTCCAAGAAGACAGAAGTGTTGATTGATTGAGATAAAGCTGCTCATTTGGATGAACCGATTTGATGCATTATAAGACCATCTGAAGTGTGATCTATGGAGACTGGAGCCCGAATAATTCAAGGCAAGACCTCAGATTATTATAAAGTCAGGGCATGTCACACACACACAAAAACATGTAAAAGGTCCTTCTCCATATTGGGCCTTGGCGACATCTTCGCAACTTGACAACTCTTCTGTAAACTCTAATCATTAAGTAAACTAATCGTTTTCTGAGCGTAAACTTCCAAATTTTAGTACATGATAAAAATGGAATCAGATTTTTCACGCAGCAGTTTAAAGGGTTTAGGATTATACAGTAGCTGGCCATTAAAAACATAATATGCACAAGTATTTATTACTAAGTTTCAGTTATCCATCTGTCCTCAGCGTCCACAATTCCATTTTGAAGCTCATGAAAACTGAATACTAGACAAACAACACTGCTATTTGGCTCGCGCTTTAACGCGCGAGCCAACTCGCACCTTGCGCGTTAAAGCGCGAGCCAAAAAGCGTTTTCCCTAGACAAACAACAAACATTCGGTTTGCTTCTCTAATGATTTCACCAAATGCATGTAATCCAATCACAAATAGTTCAAAACCCACTCATTCTACACAAACTTATAGAGTAAACAGGTAAGCCCACTAATGCGGTATCCACTGACTTCACACAAAAAGAGAATAATGAGATTCTAAGAGTTACACTAAAAACACCCGAAGCTCTCTTTCCGGCAAATTAACGGACACCTACTAAGCAGACGGGCTTCAAACTCAACCAACAATCGAGAAACAAAAAATTTACCTCTCTCAAAGGACACCTGTAGAATCTCCTCCCGGGATTCTTCGGCCGTGTTCGAGGCTCGAACCAAAAGAGCACCCGGATCCACAAGGCACCGCTTCTCCGCACCGCCCATCCTCTCCGGGCCCACACCACCCACCACCAGCAGCAGCAGCAGCAGTACAAATACCTCGCCCAAATCTGCCCAGTCCTCCACACTTAAAAGACACCTCTCCAAACTTCCCCGCCGCCGCTCGCCTGCCGCCTCCGCCTCCGGCGATGTGAAGAAGAGCTGTAGTCTCCTTCGATTTTTCTGCTGCTGCTGCTGCCAGAGGGCGCTTTCGGCTGCCTCTGAGGGGCGGCGGCGTAGGATCCTCGACTCGACGTGCTGCCTCCATCGACGAGACGAAGGTGGCGCGCCTGCCGGCTGGGCGACGGGCCGAGGGGCGAGAGCGGAGGAGTCTTTGCGCTTGTTCTTGAGGCGACCTAGGGCATTGGCTTCGACTGCTTCGAGAGAGAGATGAAGGTTGCGATCTTGGTCGTCCCTCTATCTCGATCACCTCCGCCATCTCTCTCGGTTTCGATGGATCGCTTTCTGATGGATTTTTGCCTTGAAAGTTCTCACTTTGATTTTGCCGCCATTAAAGAACTTCGAAATTTTGGGCGTGGGAGGTTTGCCGCCTTATTTTTATTAAGAGGCTGAGAAGGAATTCTTTCGTACGAAGGGCCAAGCCCACTTAGGGGGTGTTTGTTTTGATTTTTTTTTTGGGATTTCAAAATGGGATTTGAAATCCATAAATGATGTGGCTTTTAGGATTTGAAATCCATAAATGGGGTTGTGTTTGTTTCAACAATATTTTGGGATTAGGAATGCTAAAACTTGTAATATTTTGTATATATTATATTATATATATATATATATATAATACAATATATATATATATATATATATATTATATTATATATATATATATTAAATTATATATATATATAGATGTATTATATTAAATATTATATTATTATAATATTATATATAATATATTAATCTTATATTAATCTTATATTATAAGCATTAATACATCAATATCCAACCCACATCCTCTCTCAAGTGTAGAATTTCACAAATGCCTAAATATAATAGTTTTTAATATTTTGGGATTTGATATCCCAAAATTGGTTTTGAAACAAACAAAGTTATCGATTTCTAAAACCTTATATCCCAAAAAAAAGATGGAAACAAGAGAGAGGATTTCACAAATCCTAATAAAATATTATTGTTTTATAATTTAGGGATTCAATATCCCAAAAAAAAAGTGAAACAAACAAAGTTATGGATTTTTAAAACCACAAAAAAGCACTTTTTACATCCCAAAACTATCATATCCCAAAAAAAAAGCAAAACAAACACCCCCTTAATATGTTTAATTGGATGTTGTATAGGCCTTCAATCTTACCACGTTAGGCCTGAAATAAAACATTTATGACAAATGCAAATT